AAAAAAAAAAAAAAAAAGAAAGAAAACGTGTTAAGCTGGGCGCAGTGGTCCATGCCTGTAATCCCAGTGCTTTGGAAGGCCGAGGCAAATAGATTGCTTGAACCCAGGAGTTCGAGACGAACCTGGGCAACAGGCGAGACTTCATCTCGACAAAAAATTTAGAAAATTAGCCAGGCATGGTGGCACACGCCTGTTGTCCCAGCGGAGGTGGAAGGCTCACCTGATCCCAGGGGATTGAGACTACTGTGAGCCATGATGGTGCCACTGCACTCTAGCCTAGGCAACAGAGCAAGACCCCAACTCAAAAAAAAAAAGTATTAAGTAACTGTTATTCTGGTACAACCCAGATATGGTCAAAACCATGAAGGCAGAACACCAGTGAGTAAGGTCTGGGCATGGCCTCCGCTTGGATGGCGTGTGGTTGGCGCCTTGGGGCAAATGGCTTTGGAAGGTGGGGCCGCTCTCCACCTGCTCCTCTCTTCTTGATCTCCAGTACTTCGAGTACACGACCCAGAGGGACCTTCGCCACAACATTGCAAAGCAGCTGTGTCTACATGCCAGCGGGAGCACCCTGGGTCTTAGGAGCTGTCAATTCACCGGCAAAGATAGCCAGGTCCCCAAGGACGAGGAGTGGGAATTGACCCAGGTGAGTCACTGCCCACACAGCTCGGAATCAAGAAGCTAGGGCACGTCTGCCCCTCTGTGTTCTCTCCATCTTCAGCCTGAGGCCCGAGGGGTGGGTGAGGGCAGGTGGAAAGCAGGGCAAGTGTGATCTGGGCCGCAGGCAGGGTGCTCAGGGCCTGAGTGATGTTTGGCAGTGACTGGTTCTGGTCGAATACCAAGATGGAATTGGAGCTGATGGCTCGTGTCTAGCTCTGCCTCGGTGCAAGCATTTTCAGGCTGAGCCCATGTAGATGAGGGTAGAGAACCCCATGTGGTTCCTGCCTGCCTTCTGCGTGCCAGGCCCAAAGCCCAGCATTCACGTCCCTAGACCTGCGTCATCTTTTCAGAGGCTCTTTCCAAGCAGGAGGTGTCCTGTTTCTATAGATGAGCCGGATGAAGCTCAGCAAATTTGTGACTGGTCCAAGACCTATCACTAGTGAGTGGCAGGCCTGGGATGTGACCCTAGATAAGTCTCCCTTCCTCCTTCCTTCCTTCCTTCCTTCCTTCCTTCCTTCCTTCCTTCCTTCCTTCCTTCCTTCCTTCTCTCTTTCTTTCTTTTTTTTGAGACAGTCTCACTGTCACCCTGGTTGGAGTGTAGTGGCACGATCACAATCATGGCTTACTGCAACCTCAACCTCCTGGTCTCAGGTGATCCTCCCACCTCGGCCTCCCAAGTAGCTGGGACTACAGGTGTACACCACCTGGCTATGTTTTTTTTTTTGAGTTGGAGTCTTATTCCGTCACCCAGGCTGGAATGCAGTGCCATGCTCACAGCCACCCCAGCATCAATCTGCTGAGCTTCAGTGATCCTTCTGCCTCAGCCTACCAAGTAGCTGGAACTACAGGCACGTGCTACCATGCCCGGCTAATTTTTTCTTTTTAATTGTAGAGGCAAGGTCTCACCAATTTGTCCCGGCTGTTCTCGAACCCGCGGGCTCAGGCAATCTACTCACCTTGGCCTCCCAAAGTGCTGAGATTACAGGCTGAGCCACCGACCCCAGCCTTCATTTTTTTTTTCTTTTGAGATTGTCTCACTCTGTCATCCAGGCTGGAATGTAGTGGTGTGACCCTGGCTCACTGCAGCCTCGACCTCCTGGACTCAGGAGATGCTCCCACCTCAGTCACCCGAGTAGCTGGAACTACAGGCACGCACCACCACTCCCGATTAATTTTTGTATTTTTTATGGAGACGAGGTCTTGCTATGTTGCCCAGGGTGGTCTCAAACTCCTGGACTCAAGCGATCCTCCCACCTCAGCCTCCCAAAGTATTGGGATTATAGGCATGAGCCACTACACCAGCCTCAGACCTAGACAAGTCTCTCTTGAAAGCATGGGCTCTTTCGATTCCACTGCACTGCTTTAGGATATGGAGTGTATGTGCCACGGTACTGAGCTCCAGCCAGCACCCCTGAGACCTCACTCCAGCTTAGGAAAAGAGGCTGTCTGGAAGGGAGACATCTAAACATAATCAAAGGCAAAACCTAGGAGTGGGTAGCTGTGGCCCTAGGTCTTTGAGCTTGGCCGTCTGGGATGGGGAGACTGGAAGCATTTTTCTGTTGACCCACGGTCTTATCTTCCTCTATTCCACCCACTGGGGATAAAGCTGGGGGTGGGGAATTCAGGCAGAGGTAGAAACACAAGAATGTATCTCATCAGAGTGTCTGGCATCCCAGAAAGGAATTTGTTGTTTTGTTTGTTTGTTTAAGTTAGAGACAAGGCTTTGCTGTTGCCCAGGTTGGTCTTGACCTCCTGGACTCAAGCGATCCTCCCGCCTCAGCATCCCAAAGGGCTGGGATTACAGGTGTGAACCACCACGCCTGGCATGAAAAGAATTTGGAGGTGTTCTCTTTGTGTCTTGTGGGGTTCCTTGCCTTTTATCCATCGTCCCCCATCTCACCACCCCTAGTGGCACTTTTCAGAGGTCTGTGGCCAGGCTGAGCCTTTACTGTGTCATCTTCTAGGATCAGCTCATCAGAAATTCAGGATCTGGTACCTGCCTGACATCCCAGGACAAAAAGCCAGCCATGGCCTCCTGCAATCCCAGCGACCCCCATCAGCTATGGCTTTTTGTCTAGGATCCGGACCATCCACAGAGGGAGCCCCCACAAGCCTCTCAGGAAACAGGATTGCCGACATCTGGGAACCTGATCACCAGCTTTTCTGCAGGCTTTAGACATGGATTTCTAACCCAATGGATGTCAAGGCGACATCTTCCTACTCCTTGTGACAACATCAGACCTGTTTTATTTGCTCCACACTGATGGAAGAGACCATTAGGACACACGATAACTGCCCGAGGTCTTTCCTTCTGTCCTGGGAACAGGGGCCCCCAAAGAGAGAAGGCAGCTGGGACAGCTGGGCAGTCATGCTGAGCTCAAGAAAAGTACTTCTGAGGCCAGGTTGGGTGGCCCACACCTGTAATCTCAATACGTTGGGAGGCCAAGGTGGGAGGATCACTTGAGGCTGGGGGTTTGAGACCAGCCTAGACTATGGTTATGTTTACTGAGACCCCGTCTCTACAAAAAAAGAAAAGTCAAAAAATTAGCTGGGTGTGGTGGCACACACCTGTAGTCCCAGCTACTCGGGAGGCTGAGGTGGAAGGATCACCCGAGCCCAGGAGGTCGAGGCTGCCATGAACCGTGATCATAATGCCACTGCAACCTGGGCAACAGAGTGAGACTCTAACTCAAAAGAAAAAAGAAAGAAAGAAAGGTACTTCTCCAGCCTCATCTTGAATCCCTGGTCTCCAAAGCAGCTGCAGAATTCAGTGAAACGGTGCACTCTAACAGAGAGATTCAAGGTCTGAAAGAACCCACTGCTAATATTTGTAGAACGGTTTCCAGTTTCCAGATGCTCCCTGACAGGTGTCCTATATCTTATTTCATCTGCACAGTAATCCTGTGAGAAAGACAGGACATAAACCAATGTGCCCACTTTATAGATAAGAAAACTGAGACACAGGTAAAAGAACTTGTCTGTAATCCTGGAGCTAGTCGGTGGCTGGAGCCGAGACCAAGGCTCGATCTTCAATGCTGACCCAGGGCCCCTTCCACCATGCCACAAGAACACTACACAGCTAGCCACCAGCCTTCCCATGCCTTCCACTCTGACCCTTGCTAGCTGGCTGGCCTCCACAAAACCCAGAGTGGCGGAGCCAGGTCGCCACTGTGGGGAGACCACTTTCGGGAACCCTGGGATGTTAGCATTGAAAGAAAGCTCCTGGAACCCGTGAGTCTCAAGTTTCAGTCCCACAACCCTTTTTACTAAGCCCCGTGGAAGGAGGGGTGGGCAGTGCCCTCCAGTCCCTGAGCTTCTAAAAATCTCTAAACACAACTTAAAAACCTTGTTTCAGTCCAATCCTGATACGTTCATATTATGAAACCGAGGCCAGATGAGTATATTTGTCCAAGGTCACCTGTCAAGGTGTTGGCAGCCCTGACTCAGATAAGGCTAACAAGAGTCCTGGTAAATCTTGACCTGGCATGGTGGTTCACGCCTGTAATTCCAGCCAAGGCAGGAGGATTGCTTGAGCCCAAGAGTTCAAGACCAGCCCGGGCAACATAGCGAGACCTCCTCTCTTGCAAAAAAAAATCAGAGGGTGTGGTGCCATGACCCTGTAGTCCCAGCTACTCAGGAGCAGGAGGCTGAGGCAGAAGGATCGCCTGAACCTAGGAGGTCGAGGCTGTGCTAGCTGTGAGCATGCCGCTGCACTCCAGCCTGGACAACAGAGGGAGACTCCAACTCAAAAAAAAAAGAGAAAGTCCTGGGAAGTCTTGAGGAAGCAGGGATAGTGTGCAGAGCGTGACTGGAAGACTGATCCCATTGCTGTGCTCCCATGAAGCTCTGTGTAGAGCAGACCCAGTATGAATACCAGCTCCTCTCCCAAGAACCAGGGACCCACCCCTCTGCCCAGAGGAGGACTCAGTTTCTCTCAGGAAGCCACTTTTTGACTTGCAATAGCAGGCGGTCACCACAGGAGGGTACCATGGGGTTACTGTTGCCCTCAGTTCCCACTCGATTCAACCCTTCAGGCCCCTGAGCAGAGGTCCCCAACATGTTTGGCAGGGACTGGTGTCGTGGATGACAATTTTTAAGACAGACGTGGGGGGCTGAGGGTAGGGACAAGGGCAGTAGGGGGAGATCATCAGGCATCTCATAAGGAGTGCACCTAGGTCCCCCGCCTGCACCGTTCACAACAGGGTTCACGCTCCTATGAGAATCTAATGCTGCCACTGATCTGACACCAAAGGCCTCCGCCTCTGCTGCCCGATGCTCACTTCCCGCTGTGCGGTGGTACTGGTCCCCCTGGGGGGTCGGGTGAGGAGGGGGGATTGGGGACCCTTGCCACAGAGGAGACATGTTGGGGTAGCCCAACCCAAGGGAAAGGAGAGAGAATGGCCAGGGTGTGACCTGGAGTAGGGAAAGGGAAAAGTTATTTCCCAGAAAGAGAAGAGAATTGGACATGGGGGTCCCATGGAAATAAAGGCTTAATGGTCATTGGTTTAAAAAAAGTTTGCACTGGGCCCCTCTTCCCTGTGTTGCCCCTTAGCTGAATCCGATGATTTGGGCTGTGAAGAACCACACACATCTGAAGAATTCTGTTATGGCCCCTGTCTGTGTCCCCAAGCATCCTCTGGCCCCAGGTCTAACCTGGGTCTTGTGTGTCAAGCATGGGCAGACATGAGGAAAGCTAAGATGGATTCTGTCCCTTATGGAACTCACAGTCTAACCAAACGATGACAAGCTGGAGGTGTTCAAACCTGCACTCAGAATTAGAAGGAATGATTTCCAGCTGGGCACTGTGGCTCACACCTGTAATCTCACACTTTGAGGGTGAGGCGGGAGCGTTGCTTGAGCCCAGGAGTTCCAGACCAGCCTGGGCAACATGGCAAGACTTCATCTCTACAAAAAATTTAAAAATTAGCGGGACATGGTGGTGTGTGCCTATAGTTCCAGCTACTCGGGAGGCTGAGGCAGAAGGATTGCCTGAGCCCAGGAAGTCTAGGTTGCAGTGAGCCATGATCATGCCACTGTACTCCAGTCTGGGTGACAGAGTAAGACCTCAACTCAGAACAAAACAAAAAAAATTTCTTCCTTCCACTTAGGAAATCAGGGAAGGCCTCATAAAGACAGTGGCATTTGACCTAAGACCTCAAAGGATGAGTCCTCAGGTGGGAAGAGCTCGGTGAGCAGAGATGTCACACAAGCAGCCACCGAGCATGAGCAAAGCCACAGAAGCAAAAGCACAAAGTGGGCCTGGGAGGACGTCAGGGTGAGGAACAAGGAGGGGTGTGGGAGCCAGCAGAACTGCATCATGGCTGTCATGGCCCTTAGCACAAGACTCTTGCTCCATCAAAAAATATTAAAAATTATATTTGAGATGGCCAGGCATGCTGGTTCATGCCTATAATCCCAGCACTTTGGGAGGCTGAGGCAGGAAGACTGCTTGAGCCCAGGAGGTCAAGACCAGCATGGGCAACAAAGTGAGACCTTGTTTCTACCAAAAAAAAAAATTGCTGGACATGGTGGTATGCACCTGTAGTCCCAGCTACTTGGGAAACTGAGATGGAAGGATCACCTGAACCCAGGCAGTTGAGGCTGCATCATGCCACTGCACTCCAGCCTGGGTGACAAAGTGAGACCTCGACAAAAAAAAGGCCAGGCGTGGTGGCTCAGGCCTGTAATCCCAGCACTTCGGGAGGCAGAGGCGAGAGGATTGTCTGAGTCCAGGGATTCAAGACCAGCTTGGGCAACTTGGCAAGACCTCATCTCTACAATAAATCAAAAAAATTAGCCGGGCGTAGTGGCATGCGCTTGTAGTTCCAGCTACTTAGAAGGCTGAGGCAGAAGGATCGCCAGAGGCCAGCAGGTTGAGGCTGCGGTGGCAGGGGGCGTGCCACTGCACTCCTGGGCAACAGAGTGAGACTCCGACTCAAAAAACAAAAGATTAAATAAGATGGGAGTCTGTGGAGTTAAGGAGGAGAAGAACTGAAAAAGTAGATCAGCCAGGCTCGGTGGCTCAGCCTGTAATCCCACGCTTTGGGAGGCTGAGGTGAGTGAATTGCCTGAGCCTGCAGGTTCGTGACCCACCTGGGCAACTTGATGAGACCTCATCTCTACAATAAATTTTTAAAAGTTAGCCGGGCGTGGTAGCATGTGCCTGTAGTTCCAGCTACTTGGAAGGCTGAGGCAGAAGGATTGCCTGAGCCCAGCAGGTCGAGGCTGTGGTCGGCTGCGAGTGTGCCACAGCACTCTAGCCTAGGTGACAGAGTGAGACTCTAACTAAAATACATATATATATATATATATATACACACATACATAGATACATATATGTATATATATATATGTATACACACACACACACACACACACACACACACACACACACACACACACATACTCTATACATATATATGAAACTGCATTGGCATAAAGACAAATATCACACAGGCTGGTTGTATGTACTTTATTTCCCCTGATCTTAAAAGAAGCTAAAACATTCTTGTGGGTCCCTGACAGCATTGCGAGCCCTAAACACTGGGCCTACTGGGTGAGTTCACCCTGAGAAGAGTGGATTGGAACCCAATCGAAGAAGGCTTTGAATGCCGTGGTAGTAGGTGGTAATAGCTCAGGTGAGCCTCAGGGAGTCACAGTCTCTCACCCTAACCTCACTCGTAGTTGCAGTAAACATCCAAACATCTACCAGGCATTGGTGATTTGCCACTTCTCCCAGGACCTCTCGTACCATCTACAGTGTCACCTGCCAACTCCCCGGCCCAATCACATGGTATGTGCCTAACCAAGGTGTCCTATTGTGGTGCCAAGAAGATTCCGCCTGTCCCCAAATAGCATGGCATCTCCTAGAGGCAGCTGGCTAAGAGTGACTCGCAGAAGTGAGAGCTGCAGCGGGAGGAAGAAGAGACCCCAGGCCGTGCCCAGAGAGCGGCCCTAGGGTCGTAGATGAGGGGGGGACTAGGGAAGGGAGGCAGTCAAGAAGAGGGAGAGGGTGGCCGGGTGCAGTAGCACCCGTGGTTCCGGCCATTTGGAAGGCTGAGGTGGAAGGATCATCGAGCCCAGCAGGTCAAGGCTGCTGTGGCTGTGAACGTGCCACTGCACTCCAGCCTGGGCAACAGAGTGAGACTTCAACTCAAAAAAATAAGAAGAGAGCCGAGCTTGGTGGCTCAGCATGTAATCCCGCGCT